TATTGCCCCTCCCTGAAACTATGTAGAACATCAAATGCGGAGCCACAAATGTTTATTCTGTGACAGAATAGTCTTGAAAAAGGAACTTTCTGGCAAGAGCAGCACTTTAAGTGAAAGAAGTTATTGACTGAAGATGCTATTGAGTGAATTTTGGCAAGTTGAAAATTTACTTGTATGATTTTCTTGAGAACAGGGGAAAATTAACCTGAGAGTGTCTTCCCAGAATTTTAAAGAGAACTTGCTGCAATTATATATTCTTCAACTGTGATCTTTTCTTTCTTCAATAAGTTCCATTTCCTTGAAGTATACTAGTCATAGTCAAACTGTTGTTTTGGTTGTAACAACAAAATGTGGTAGAGAAATTAAAAGACTAGAACAGTCACAGGGCCTAAATTTTATGGCATGTACTTATTTTTTCACAAAATTTTTCCATCAAGAATTTGTACCATGTAGATTCAGCATGGTATGCATGTGATACAACACTTGTATTTCTATCCCTTTGTGTAACTAATAGATTAGTCATGCACTTTTTTTTAACAATGCCACATTGTTGTTGTGGCATGGAGTTAAAACCAAATATGATCACAAATGTGATGTTGTTTATATTGATTGGCAATTCAAGGTCAGGACATACAATTTCCATCATGCAATACCTGTTGACAATGACTCACCACAACTCCACATTTTTTATCATAGTGGTTGCTTAGCAGTGGGTGAAAGTCAAGAAAGTATTTTGGAAGCATTTGCATTGTTATCAAGCCATAGCGCACTAGAATTTATACTGGGGATGCAAGAATTGTCCTTTGCAAATCAGCACAAACAGCCCTGCATTAAAGATAATTAATTTCCCAGTTTAATACATGGAAGTCAAATTAAGAACACATTCATTTTAGTAAGTATACCCTAGATAAAGAATTTCAAAGACAATTATTTAGTAATATCCTATAATATTAAAACATGGGAGTTGAATAAATGAAAGCATGGTAACCGGTTCTCACCAGTGGATTGATCACTGAACTGACATTATTTCTGTTTGACAGGGACCTGGTGGATCCTTGGGAAATCAGAGTCCTTCCCAGACATTACAGTTACCATCTAGTCAGCAGTACTCTACACCAGTACCATCATCTCCAGGTCAACTCTACCAAATGCCTCCTTCGGGGCAAGTTTCTCAAAGCCCAGTGTCAAACCCTGGTCAACCTTTTCCAGTGTTACCTGACCAGTCAAACCAATTGCCACCTGGTCAGTTGAACCACATGTTACCTGGTCAATCCCATCAGATTATATCAAATCAACAAAACCAAGCTCCAGCTCCATCAAGCCAAATGCCACCCCCTCAGTCAAGCCAAATGCCACCTAGTCAGCCAAGCCAAATGGTTATTGGTCAGCCAAATCTAATACCATCTAGTAGTCAGTCAAACCAAATGCCACATGGTCGTTCGAGCCAAATGCCACATGGTCACCCAAGCCAAATGCCACCTGGTCAGCCAAACCAAATGTCATCTGGTCAATTAAACCGTGTGATCCCGGGTCAACCAAATCAGATGGCTCCTGGAGGACACTTTTATTCAGCACCAGGGCCAAGTCCTTCCCAACCTTATCAGGCACAGCCAATGATTCAAGGCCAACCACATCAGACTCCAAGGTCAGATTCTAGTCAACCATATCAGCTGCCAGTGTCTACCACTGGTCCAATTTATGAAATTTCATCCCAGAACACCAGTCAGGGATATCAGTATCCTCCTGTTAATTCTGCATCAGCCTCAAATGGGTCACCAAAACTTGGTCTTCCCCGTCAATCAAGTCAACAATATCCAACATCATATCCAGGTCAACCATATCAGATGCCTGCTTCAAACCCTGATCAGTCTTATCAACCTCACTCTTTAAATCCTGGCCAATTTTATCCAGGTCAGCCTGCACAGAGTCCCTTACCTCCCCCACAAACAAGCCAAGCATACCAAACTCCAACATCAGCTCCTGGTCAACCATACCAGGTACGGCCATATCAATCTTCACCTCAGAATCACGGCCAGGGTCCACCACAACCTAATGTACAGACAATGCAGGCAACAGGACCAGGAGGGTATCAAGCCCATCCGACACCAGGACAGGTTGCTAATCAAGCTCATCCTTCAGGAAAGCTACCCATACCAACTGTAGTGGGCCCAGCGGCTTCACAGCTCCAGCAACAGCAGCAAGTAATGCCACCCTCCCCTGTACAACCAAAGCCACCTGGAGTACAATCTTATCATCATCATCCATACCAAAATAATTATAATTACTCCTCACCCCACGCACAAAGTATCCCAGGAAATAGGACTATTAAACAAGAAAATCAAGGTTATGGCCCAACTCATGTGGGACAACCACTTCAAATGGCAGATGGAAGAAGTCAGTCCTATACTCAAATTGCTCCATCACAAGCTACCCAATGGGCTCCCCCATTTGCACGTCCTGCACCAACATCTTTGTATGGTCACACATCATCTCCATACCCAGGTGCTCCTCCGGTGTCATATACAGGTGAACAGTCAATGACTCAGCAGCCACAATCCCAAAATCCACCACCTGGTTACCCAACTAATTCTTATGCAGTTGGTTCAGGATACACAAACCTTGGTCAACAGCCAGGTTTTCCAGGCAGACAGCCCTATGCTCAGTCAACTCCTCCAATGTATGGTTCAGGTTACCACCAGCCAGGTTTAGTTGAACCCCGGAGTAATTTCATATCACGGAGATCACCTTTATCAGATTCTAAAATTAATTCAATTGATACACTACTTTGTCATGCAGAGGAACTGGAACCAAGAGTGTTGTCTTTTGCAGGAAGTAGAGGTCAGTGAAATATTGCTTGTCTTCATTCTAGTATCCTTATTGATTAGCTGCTTGTGGATTGTGAATTTAATTACTTTTTTAGATAGTTCAGGTCAGAGATTAAGTGTATTAGATGCTTTTTTGTCATCATTTAAAGATTTCAAGCAGTTGAATGTGCAAGTTGAGAACAGGATTGTCTTGTATTGTTAGTGATTGCTACCATACCTCTTACTAATTAGTTTCAGGGTCCATACTATAAGTTAGGGCCTTTCTGCACTAGCAAAAAAGTTTATTTAGACAAATTTTCTCTCACGAACATTTTGCAAGTGCAGATGGTTTGTGGCAACTAGACAAATTTTGACTGAGGTGGACAAATCTTTAAACACACTAGCAACAAAATTTGTCCTGGGTGAAAACTGGATGAAATCGATTATATTATAAACAAAACTGTGATAAACTTGTTGATCATTTGTCATAAAAGCTATGACCAGCAGTTAATTGAACTGAAATCAGTTTACTAGAAAGGCGTTAGATGTTCTTTGTTGCAAAACTGAGGGATTCTATAACTTTAGAACAACTTAAGATGAATCTTGGAAATTAGAGTTGGAATCATTTGGCAAACTATGGTGGCTGGTCATATGAACAGATCAGCTGCAGGAATTTGGCAGCTTTGAAATTTTTCATGTGGATGCAACAGACAAAACAAAAATTTCTCATGACAAAATGTGTCCTGATTTTGTATGGCCATTTTTAGTTTTGTCCACTAGTGTTGAAAGGCCCTTACTGACTAAGTCTCTTTACCCTCATATTTAGGGCCCAAGTACAAAGTGCTGAGGCCATAAATCCAGTAACTTACACTAGGTTTAAAAGGTATTTATTATATCTGTGGGTTCAAATGGGAGGGGGAAGATTTCAATTCACACAACTTTTTCAATTTAGGGGGCCACATATTGAAATATGGAGTGATAAGTTGACCAAATTATAGGGCACATAGTAACTGATAGATATAATGATATAATTATGATGTTAATGGGTAGATTGCTACATTAGTTTTCAAATGTTTAATTTCTTGTTCTTAAAAAATTTTGATGCATCAACTTTATGATTCTTTCAATTCTTTCACTCTTTCATTGATTATTTCTTAATAATATTGGTTTTAAAGGTGACAGAGAGTTTATTTATCTTGATGAACAACTAACAAAACTGATCTTGGATCTTGATAAAGTACAGACTGATGGATTAGAAGATGTAAGAGTGGCCCGCAAGTCTGCCATTCAAAGAATACAATTTTTGATTGATACGTTAGAGAATAAGGGCTGAAGAAGCTACAGAAGACATACAAGCCTGTTGTCCATTGAACATTAATTTAGTCAATATAATTATATGTTATTCGAAAAGCTGTTAATAAGTAGTTTAGACTAGTCAGAAATGGTAATTGCTTTCCACTGAGTGACTTCAATATTTTAGCTGCATTTATTGCCTTCTTTTTCTATGTGGTTTTGACACCAAATGACAGGAATATGTCACGTAGGCATGTCCTTCATGGAAATTTCTCACTTTAACTTACAAGAATAGAGTGAGTTACATGAGATATCAAAGAAAGATTAAATTTTGAGTATTTCTATGAACAAGTTAGTGAGCTATGCCCCTAAAAATATTAGTTATGTCATTTAAATTTATTAGGGGATGACATAGCACAAAGATATATAATGAGAAAGTTTTTCAGCTAGGAATCAGAGTTTCAAACAGTATTTTACATGTGTTTAGAGTTAAATATTAAGCATTATTTTTTTATTTCTTTTATCGACTGTAACAAAGTAGACAACTAAATGTAAGGAGTCCTCCAGTAGGTGAAAAAGGACTTTGAACTGTTTTTCTTGTAAAACTTTTTTTTCTAGCTTTTAATTACTGCTTTTTTTTCTGACCTAAATACTTACCGGTAAGTTGAATATTTTTAGTGACATTCCACTTTAGTTGCTCTCAATTATTAATAATGTTAATATTCATAGTTGAGCCACTATTGAACCCTGTTACTAGTAAACAGTTATAGGTTACTGTGAAGGCCAACATGTGACTCTTCTTCTCAAGAAAAATTGGTAGTTTGCGAAAAGATGTTCATTGCTCTTCCTAGTGCTTGAGTTTCAATTGCAATCTTATGTTCTCTAACAAATGTTAAACTTTAATTTGGGTCATGCAAACAAAAAACTGCATGAAGTGTTCCTGCATTTACTATATTTCAAATTATAGCAAATATTTTACTCCTGTCAATAAAGTGCTACAAACTAGAAGTGTACCAGTAGTTAAAGATTAATTACTATCACCCCCAGTCCCTCAGGGAAACTGAGTGTAAGTGTGATCCCCAGTTTTCTAAAGCCTGGTTCTATTAAGACCATGATGGTAAAATCTATCCCTGTTTTAAGACAAACCATTTCTTTTGGGGCAAGATCTACCTACACAACTTAAATAAATGAGTAACCCCTCAAGCTCTAGGTGCTCTTCCCACTAGTTCAGTACTTTAATATACAATACATTTTTAAGTATCCAAAACTTTCTATCCACAGGCTAGCCTTTAAACAGGCAGACAGATGAACACCCCTAGTATAAAAAATGAGTCAAGTAACAATAGTATTTTAATCAATAGATATATCTTATTAACCAAGTGCGAGGGCCGTAATGGGAGAATATCGGCCCAAGGTCTTGACAGTACAGACCGAGCGCAGCGAGGTCCGTAAAAAAAAAAACAAGACCGAGGGCTGATTTTCTTCCAGTACGGTCCGGAGCAAGCTTGGTTAATAAGAGATTTACTATACGACTGAAGTTCAAACGGACACAAGTGCGGTATCATTCGGGACCATTCGGGACAGTGCCCGGTCCAATACTGAGAGAATATTGGACCGGCAATAGGCATTTTGATTGGTTGATTTTAGTTATTGGCCCTCTGACTGCCTGAGTCGTGTAATAAAAAATAGTTATTGGAATACCTAGCCGAAGTTATCAACAAGAGTCAAGTGACTTCTAGTGCCTCCATTCAGGTTAATGAAATGTATGTCATTTCATCAGTTCACATCACATTTGTACAAGCTGAAAGCAAGGATCTTAAAAGTGAAATTTGAAAAAACCTTTGATTGGTAGGAAGTCTTTGAGTCCATGAAACCATGAAATATAAATGGTGGAGGAAAAGAATTGCAAGTTTATGTGACGTTGACACAAAACACTCCTTCGGTTGTTGCTTTCAAGGTTATAATTTGCATCTTTAAGTAAAGGGGTTAGTGCATGCTTTGAGTCATATCCATTTTCCTCTGACAATTTTTCTATAATTTCTCCAATTTAAATTATGCAACAAAAAATAGAGGTCATCATACTCATTCAAGAGCTAAAGACCATCTTACTTGTTAACCTCATCCATTGACTGAAAAATGATGCCATGTTCTCTTTTTGAGCAACAACACTGTTTTTCAGTCAGTTTTTAAAGACACAAGGTGGATGAAGAATTGACAAAACATCCAATTTCATCTTAAGTTTGAGTTATGTGTGTATGTGTTCATCTTAGCAATTTCTTTATTTAAAAAGTGGGTACAAATGAAATTTTTGTACCTGTCTATGTAACTGAGACATACAAAAGACAAGTGGAAGTAAGCGAAAATTTTCTTTATCTATAAACAACAATTTACTCAATTCTTTAAAATTGATCCAACAAACAGCTATGGGATCAAAATCATTATTGTTTTTTCCCAGGTTTAAATCTACTTTTGGGTTTTGAATCTTTAAACTCTGGGCTGATATCTACAAGACCTGCTGCTTTCATTAAGCCCCTTGCACAGTTGTTATAATGCTTAAATCTGTCAGGCCCCAAGAGAATCCCACCATACCAACGGGTTACCACAACAACAACATCTCTGACATTTAATATTTGTAACAGATGTAAAAGTCTTGAGCCTGCCGCTGCCTCACCATCATCATCACAGTCTTGAAGAAAACTGTTTCGGTCCTCACAAAATATTCTATATGCCACAACATTGTGAGTTGCATTGTTTACTTTCCGGTTTTTCTTTAACTCTTCCAGAACTCCTGAAACTTGATCTAATGTTATTACATGAGCTAGATGTGCTTGAAAAGTACTTTTCCTGTCTGTGAAGGGATCTCCATGTCTTATCTCTGGGCACAGGTCTGATCTCTCCCTCCTGACTAACTTCAAAGAATCCTCATCATTGCAACTGACATTTGCTGACTGATACTTCTCAGAATCACCATCTTCAATCGTTTCTGATAACTTGATGCTCTCGCCTAAATTAGATTATATGATTAAAAAAAAAATAACCATCACTCAACACTCCAAATTATGGTCTTTATTATCCAACTGTGCTTTGTAGAGTACAAATAACGCCCAAAACGAGTACAAATATCTCGCGGTATTTACAATAGAGAACTCACCACTGCCCCTTTCCCCCTCTACCTTCCCACACCCTCAACTTGGCTCAAGTAAAAAAAATTTCATCTTCTGGACTTTTTCTATGCATAAATTAATAAACGTTTTCGAGTAATTGCATCATCCCCACTCTTAGTTTTCTAAAATCTTAGTATTAATTACTTCTACCTGATAGAGACGGACAGAAAGTATTGGCTTACATTTAAGAGAAACATCACTTCTCGATCCCTCGGCATCAGTTGGTTCTTGACCATGGAATTTGGAATTTATGAATGTCCTCAATGCCTCTACCCACTGATAAATTACAATCTCACCCTGATGTTCACGGTAAATGGTGTACAACAAGTCCGTGGCTTCAAACATGTCGGCATCACTCATCCAGGCAGAATGAATTTCGAATACAGGGGGAACCCGTTGTGGGTATTGAGGCGGTAGGAGGACTTGCAGAGTGGCAGACCACCACGAATCACTTTCGTGGCAGATACGGATTTCGTAGATACTGTTAGCTTTGTCAATAACAATGAAATCTTGATCATAAATCGCTGTTAATGCTTCGATTTCTTCAGCTTGTTCGGCTGAAGTCTCCATTTATATGTAATACAACGATTTCACGCACTAGTAGTAATTTTTAACGGCTACCTCTATGTCTCGGGAAAGTTTTTCTGAGTAGTTTATGAATCATCAGTTGTTATTAAAATATCCCCAACCAACAAGTGAGTGCTGCAGAAATTAGATGCATAATCACCGCAAAAGCAGCGTCAGCTAATGCATTTCTATCAACGTGTTGCTGCTTGCCAATAAGCAACCAAGCCTGCCAACCAGCGGCCAAAGAAACCGCTGTGCATCTCGTCAGCGGTATAGTGACAGTTTTTTTTTACTTTGTAACTTGAATCTTAAGGTGTACCCAGAAAAAAAAAACCATGGCGAACACTCCATTTTACAGAGTTCTTGGCATATGGAGTGTTGTTCTTCTATTTTTGATTTTCTTAGTCATCCGACTGGATAAAGAAACAGACTGGTTCTGGTTCATCATCTTTATACCATTCCTGATCTTTGATTGCTTTGTGATTTTTTACATTATGCTTCGAATTTGTCGTCACTTGAAAGATGGCGTCGATCCGAATCGGTTTACCTATGCAAGGAAGTTTTGGTTCTTGTTCCTGGTTGCTGCAAAACTTAGTTTCATTATTGTACTGTGTTGTAGACTTGAGAATATCATAACTGCATCCTATTTCGTGGTGTTTATTCCGTTATGGATATTCCTATTGGGCCTCGGTTGTGATGCTTCTGTGTGGGTTTGGGTCTTAGCAAATGCCAGAGGATGATAAAAAGATGAGCTGAGAGATTTGGCGTCGATCAAAATGATGATAACATTACTGTTCTCAGTACGTTATCTAGATAAAGAAGGCACGATTTCTGCCATATCATTGGCAAGTTCACCCGCAAGTAGCCACATGAACAGCAGTAGGATATTTGTCAATAACGAAATTATGGCGAGACCTCTATTCTACTTTGAATAAAGAAACTCCTGTGAATGTTAACCAAGTTGGCAAATTGAAAGAGGAGTAACTTCGGAATACCCGACCACTTTGGTCCACCTCATTTACATGAGTCGGGAGGCTTTGAAGAACGAGGCATAACACAATAGACGTTACCCTTATTCAGTGACATGCAATGTAATAAAGTGTCAGGGTATTCTGCAGTAAGCCTTTTACAGACCCTTTTAAAGTGGTCGAGAAAATTGGGAGACTTTCAATCTACTATTTAAGGTAAAAACGAATTGGGAATTTCACAGAACTCTAACATCACTGTGACACGAAAGTAGCATAAAATAAAGATAAAATGATTCTTTCAAAAGGTACCTTTCAATTGCATTAAATATAGCTTTGGACTATATAGAGTCAAACAAAAAGACCTTTGAGAGTAGTAAAGGAAAATTTCCTAATAAGTAGGATTGTGTTCATTATGGTAAAGCAATACTTGTATCGATACAAATATTATCTTTGTAAGAAAGCTTTTAAAAGAAATATTGAAAAGTTGAATAACATTTTCGTTGAGTTGTATATCAAACTTCTATTTATTTCAAGTTTTGCTGAGATGCTCAGCACGTTGGAATTTTTGTTGAGTAGTCCCTTTGTAATCCTTTGTTTTGGGATAACTCTTGAATTGAGTCATTGAGGAGAGCAGGGTCGGCGTAGTGGTGAGAGCACTGACCTTCCACCAATATGTGTGCCTGGTTCGATTCCCGGATCCGGCGACATAAGTGGATTGAGTTTGTTGGTTCTCTGCTGCTCCAAAGAGATTTTTCTCTGGGTATTCCGGTTTTCCCCTCTCCTCAAAAACCATTATCATTTGAATTTATTTAATTTAGATTTTGTTTGCATTTACATACGACCCCACAAGGTGTTCAGCTTTAAACATTATCGTGTCTAAATAAAGGTATTATTATTAGTTGTTTACAGAACTGAGTTCCAGTATCTTAACCATGTATGTAAGTCACCTCTTCAGCAATTAATAAGAAATAAGTCTTTCTTGGTCAGTGACATGTTACTCATATCCTTAGATAGAAATCTTTCTCCTATACCTCCCATGGCTAATTAAGAGAAATTGAAAACACTATTATTCTATATACAGAGAAGAGTTAGTCAAGTCTTAAAATGATTGAATTGTAAGGAGTTGTTATTGATTTTCTAAAGGATTGTAATACTTTTGATGGGGAGAAAAAATTTACTATGATCCTCCCTTCCATGACTGACTTCAAATTTGTAAGGGATAACCCTCCCTC